AGGCCTTCCCACCGTCAGCCCCGGCCCTCCTTTTTATTTTTAATAAAGCAGAGGCATCAACTTCCAGTCACACTTCCGAAAAGAGGCAAGTTCCACAGAGGAAAAAACCGAAATCAAATCGCCTCTCCAAACCCCTGGCACCAGCTTTCACTTGGTGAAGGTGGTGATTTTTAATTACTTGAGCCCTTGGGAGATTTTAGGCAGGTTTTATGGTAATGAGAGGTTGTGAGGAAAGCGCCTTCTGTAGGAAGAAGGAGTTTTCCCCATTTTGGCTGCTGAAGAGTGCAGGAAAGGAGCGACTGGAGAGACAGTCGAGTGAGAAGAAACACAGGGTGTGAGATCCATCAGTCCCAGCACTTCGCCTGTTATTTATTCATTACTACATGTAAACGGTGTATTTGTTGTGATAGCAAGTACAAGCCAGCAGCAGAATAAGGTGCATACTCCAAACAGCTTACGCTAAAAAGTAGTACTTTTAGTACTGGAGTACTGCGTCCAGCTCTGGAGCCCTCAGCACAAGAAGGACATGGAACTGTTGGAGCGCGTCCAGAGGAGGGCTACAAAAATGATCCAAGGGCTGGAGCACCTCTCCTATGAGGACAGGCTGGCGGAGTTGGGCTTGTTCAGCCTGGAGAAGAGAAGGCTGTGGGGAGACCCTTTCAGTACCTAAAGGGGGCCTATAGGAAATAGGGGGCCAATCTTCTTAGCCTGGCCGGTTGTGACAGGACAAGGGGGAATGGTTTTAAACTAAACCAGGGTAGGTTTAGACTGGATATAAGGAAGAAATTCTTTACAATGAAGGTGGTAAAACACTGGAACAGGTTGCCCAGAGAGGTAGTGGAGGCCCCATCCCTGGAAACATTCAAGGCCAGGCTGGACGGGGCTCTGAGCAACCTGATCTAGTTAGTGGTGTCCCTGCTCCTGCGGGGGGGTTGGACTAGATAACCTCTAGGGGTCCCTTCCAACCCAAAACATTCTATGATTCTATGAAAAAGGTACAATTTTAGCGTGAGCAAAAGAACAAGGAGCGAGTGTGTATACGTTCGCAACAGCCGTTGGAAGCACCGTAAATACTAAACCTTCAAGGACACCCATGTTTTAGCTGTGCTTTATGCAGTGCCCAAGACGTGTCACGTGTTTTTAGGCACACAGAAAAGCAGCAATATGGTCTTTAATATCATGACTTAATTGGTTGTGCAATTAACTCCCTTATAAAATGAACCGGGGGTGGCAAGAAAAAAGAAGGGAAGTTCTTGGCAGATGGTTGGTTGGAAAGCTGTATGGCATTGCAGAAATTAAGAAACAGGAAAGGATAAAAGACATGCGTTGTAAGGTGTAAAAGCCTCAGGCAAAGGGAGGGCGTGCGGCAGTGTGTAGGAAGGAATTGGCTCAGAACATAAGCTTGGAATTGCGCAGAGCTTTAAGAGACCAAGGCAGAAAAGCATTAAGCACTGGTGGAAGAAGATACAGAACCAATAAGGGGATTTAAGAAATGAGAAAAATTATAGCGTAATGGGAGAAAATTCTGCTTTTCAGGGGAGTGTCTTTCACAAATAGGAAATCAGGCAGTTTCTATAGGCCCCAGCCAATTTTTTTTGGTTGAAAACAAGTACCTGTAAGACAGTAATTCTGTATTTACTTGCAGGTATCTGAATATACTGTTATGGTCTATGGTAAGAAATAGCCAGATTAAGTCGGTCCTGTTATGTTCTAAACATCTGCAGCCCCTTTTGTTCAGATCTAGTTTCCAGAGCAGTCTATTTGTAGGTGCTTTACTATCTTTAGGACATCTGTAACAGTAGAAAGTAACAACTCTGGAGAACAAAGAACTCTTTCTGAATGCTCTTAGGACAAAGGTATGCCATGGTCACATTACACATTCACAACTTACTTCTTTGAAGCCTCTTTGTACTTTTGGTTTAGTTCTTTCACCAGTAAAGAAATTCTAAGTTTAAGGAATAGTTAACATCCTTCAGTCCATGTGTTTATCTGACTATGGCTATTCTGCTGCGTTCCTATCAGAACACCTCATCTCCAGGGTCCACACCAGTACTTAAGGTCCTCCATTTTCATGTCTAGGTTTTTTCTGTCAGTTTTCAAAATCCTAAATCATCATCAGAAAAAAAAAGCTTCGTTAGATGTGCTGTTTACCTGTTAACTGTACTACCTGATAGCCGGTGTCCCTGATAACCTAGTACTTCATGTCCACCCTTCTGCTTTCCCACACTCATCTATCCAGTACTGTATTACCACTCCCCAGATCTGTTCCTCCCTCCAGAAGTAGAGGCTGCACAAATTACTTCCCTTTTCTCTCTCTTTCAGTTAAATGAAAGCTCTTTGCACTAACACTACTGCCAGGACATAGTATCACCAAGAAGACTCCATGAATACCTCCAATGGGAAAATATCCCAATGGATTCCTTGTAGCAACAGCTTAATACACATACTGATCTTTTGTCACACCTTTGACTTCCTTTCCTGGGACTAAAATTCCAGTGAATTCCCCAGACCTCTGCTTCTGTGTTATCTCAGGACACATTTTTTAGTAAGAATCTGGTGTATCATTAGTCCCAACACAGAGAGCAACCCCATTGCCACTACAATATCCCTATTCCCTGCAGGGCTGCCAGTCCCTTGTCAAATCTAGTACACTTCCTCTTCTACTTGGGACAGTTTCATTTCATTTGCTCCGACATTTCTTTCTGCTTCAATTCTTCCTAGCTCTGTAACAAACATGCCTCTCAGTTCCATTTTTTCCTTTACTATCACTTACAGCTATTTACAGCACCTATACCTTGCATTCTCCTATTTACATTGATAAATGTGAAATGGAAAATTACTCTCCACAGGTAATTCTCAGGCTCTTCTTCAGATTCTGATCTCCTTTCAGCACCCTTTCCTCCAGCATAGCAGATTTCTGCTTCCAGCTATATCTGTGTTTGAGTAATCAGTTCTGTGAGTTCTACCAGACAGGATTTTATTTAAACAATATATTCTTGAAAGCAAAAACCAGATGCTGTAACATCAGTCTACTTCAATCATCAGCGTTCACTTCAGATGTGTTTAATATTCACAGTGATTGTGGATCAACGACACCAGCAATGAACTGCCCAATAAATAATTACTTTGGCCCACAGCCTGCTCCTGGTGGTGCTGCCTCTTTCCCAGTGTTTCTGGGAGTAGTTTTGGCACTAGGCCACTTCCAGGTCCACGATGTTGCAATGGTTGTACATCGGGTTACTTACATTGCTGCAGAGGAGCACATAGCATGGTACCTGCAATCAGAACTACTTAATGAGCACTAATGGCCAGCCCTAGACCAAACTGAGGAGCTCAGGAAAAAAGAATTACTTTTTTTCTGTGATGGCACAGCCCACAGCTATGCTGCGTTTTCATCCAGGAATTCCTCAGACTCTGGCCAGGAGCATTTACCAGCAATCACCTACTGATTTCTAGCTTTTGGCCTTCTTCCTGCAAATTATGTGCTCACGTTCCTGTCAGACCCCCTACGCATGCGCAATGCGTCTTTTCCGACAATATAAGAACTCAAAATATGGCCTTTACTCACCATGGAAGAGACAGCATAGCCCTCTCTTTTACAAAAATGGGAGTCACAGAGCATATGGACAGACACTAGGAGTCAAAAGCTTCTAAGCTATGACAATCGGTTTCATCTGCTTGACCATGTCTGCTATTGGTAAAAAGCCAGCCACATGTTATGCCTACGTGGCATGCTCCAATTGAGAGGGTGCCTATTTTTACTTGAGAGCAATCAGGTTATACACAACATTCCCTAGAAAAGCCAGCTTTTCACTCTCAAGACCACTAAATGCCAGGGAACTTTTTCCTCTGTGCTACATCATTGTCCACTCTGTCTCCCATGGCTTAAGCTATACAGCAAATAGCCTACCCTTGGTACTTGTTACTTTATATACCTTTAATTTTTCTCAGAGCCAATCCCTTAATACAAGCCAAATATTCAAATGTGATAGGTAAGGTGTAATAACTGGGTTACTGATGCGTGAGGGGTTTTTAATGTAATTCTGGAGTTACTTACAAAATTAGAATAAAAAACTAGTTTTTCTAATTATAGTTTCTTTTTGAAAATGTTTTCATGCAGAGCCTCACTACAAACTCTTTGATAATCCCAGTGATTGCTTGCTTTGAAAGAATGCGTAGTTAATAGAAACTGATAGGAAACAAAGATAACTTTCAGTTTTTTATTCCTGCTATGTGGTAAGTTTAAAGAGTAAACTCAAAGTTTTGAACTAGAAATAAAATCTGGGAAAACTTTAAAATGAAGCTATTGAACTTGACACTGGTAAAAAGGTCAAGCATTTGATGAGTTTACATGGCCATCTGATACTATTATGCTCTGATTAACAGTATTTCCTGAAAAACAATAATCAGATAGGTATAGGGGAAAAGACAATTCTCTAGAAGGTAATTTAAGTTCAAAAAAACCAAGGGATCTTTTGCACCTCTGAAAACTGAGGGGAAAATAAGTTCTCGTTTGATAATTTCATTTTACTCTTCCTTTTTTTTCATTCAGCGTAGACCTTGCTTTTATTTAATTTCTCAGTGTTCTAACATCTATCAGCATTAAAAAACAAAACCTTACAAAACAGCTGGAATGATAGGAAGGTCTCCACAGATTTGTCCATATAAGAAAGTTACAAGCACAACTGTGCCCATATAATTGCACAAACCAGGTCCCCAGAGGGGGCATTTTTATTTCTCATTCAGTATTTCCCTCAACAGAAAAAGCTAAAGTTGGAAGAAAAGGCACTCATTCCAAAATGGATATTCATACAAGGAACTAGTGGGTGTGCCTATTCTTGTAAAATAGGTATTAGATGAATAGTAGGTTTAACATGTATCAAACAAATAAATTCTACCATACCGTAGAGGGAAAAGCCCTGTGGCAAAAATCTCTGTACTCAGCAGGATAGAGCAGGGTATGGAAAGCTTAAAAATGCCATCTGATAAAGCTCTAGATTTTTGTTTGCTTTTCTAGAAAGAAATGAGTTTCTAAGAATCTCTGTTACATCATGAACGGATATTTTCTTCTTTTGGTTCCATAAAATCTGTATGGGCTATAGCCATACTGTTTTAAATTATTTGAGAAATAAATGCTTTTAATGCTAACCTCAGCTAGCCTTACCTAACCAGCTATAGTTTTCATGCTGAAAAGTCAATAAAGGGTTTAAACGATTATGACATCCTTGAATTCTTCATGCTTCTCCCTCAAAACCAACTGCCTATGAAATTAGACCAGTACAAATTGCTGTTACTGACAGACTTTATTGGTCTGTTCTTGTTCTCTTTTTAGACACATCATTATCTTGCATGAGCTTACAGTTTTGTACTATGTGTGCAGTTTAAATTGACAGCTAGGAGAAGCTCCATGGAGACAATCCACATAATTACCATAAAAATCCTCAACATTGTTACCAAGTAAGCTTTATGACGCAGATTACAGAAGCTGTGGAGAGAGTAAGCAATTGTTCTGACTGAGGTAGTTCCTATGGAGATGTTACTGAAAAGCTTCTTGGTAATCAGAACAGACACAGGCAACCACATTTTATACGAGATACTAGGAATGAGTGTTATACTATGACCTTAAGAAAAGTCCCTGCTGTTTTATTAAGCAAATTAAAGTCAACGCTGTGAAGAAACCAGTAAGTTTGCAAAATCAGTTTTTCCCTCTTGTAAAATAAGCGGCCTGCTAACACAAAAGAGTCACCTTTTCTTATGAAGCACCTGCATCTTCATACATAATAGGGTTCTTGGCACTTGTCAACGCTCTTTCCAGTGTATGGATTATACCATTTATCGACCTAACAGTGGGTCTGTTTTGAACATTGTTTTATGAAGCCTGAATATTCTGGCCCAGTCCTCACCTGATGCAGTGTAGAGTGGCTCCACAGATGTCCTGCTCAGGATCTGGTACGACATGTTCCAAGACATGCATTTTCAATTATTTCTTCTTGTTCAATACAGTTAAGTATTTCTTAATGGTTCAATGCGTTAAACATGTTTTACTTTTGAACTTCATTGTCGTTCTCTTCTGCCCTTTATGTCTTCTGCCCTGTCTCTAAATTCAGGTTCTTTTCATCAACCTTGGAAGATACAGTGGGTCAGTTTCTTTCCCATTAAGTAACTATCTCACTATTTCAATAGCATGTAGTTTTAGAGTAAGCTTAATAGTATTTGTTACTGAAAGATGACGTTAGTTTGATGCTTAATTATAGCTCTCAGACGATCTTTTAAAAATAACGTAATAAAAACATCAGCAAAACACCTTCAATAAAAAACAATTATAAAACATTTTACTCTTGTCTTCAATTTGATCCTATCACCAAAGATGCAGCAAAAAAAGGACCAGCTGGTTGTCATTTGCAGTATCTATCCGCTTTCACCTTCGCTCTCCTGTATGGAAAGAGTAATGAAACAAGATTTAGATTAAGACCAAATATGATTACATCTCCATGTTTTATCTGCCTCAAAGTGTTAAGGAAGCATTGAAAACAATTTTTCTGAAACTCTGCTTCAAAGCACATATAAAAGGATGGACTTCAGATTTGTTCATTAACTCTGTTTTCTTAAGGAGCTAGAACTGCAATGTGTAAAGTTAACCTTGTCTTTCCCTTCAAATCATCGTGAATTTGTTCTGTCCGCTCTGAGGAATGCAATTCAGATTCAGTGTGATTTGAAACTGATTCTCAACCTGTGATGGCCCAGGAGTGTTCTCACATCATTTGCAATTATCATAAATAACCTTCTGCATTCCACCCACTGAATTAAGCAAATACTTATATTGTATACCGATACAGAATGTTTTAAAAATTCAAACCAGTTTCTATAGTCTTAGCTCAGGGGGAAAAACCAAATTATTCCCACTAGGTAACATGAAGACTGTTCTTAATAAGTGCTATTTCTCTTTAAAATGCAGCTTTCGTCTCTCCAAAATGTTCTGGTACCATAGGCATTGAAAATATTAAAAATTAGCTTACTTTTTCTGATTAAAAAGATTAATCCCTCAAATCCTCTGTACTAGAAAAACTGAGCAACCTAGTTAAAGACTTCCAAAAGAATTCACTTCTGGGTAAATCCAAACCTGCAAACTTCAGCTGAAGAAGTGAAAATTCAGAGCAAAAAAAAAAAAAGCCAACCCCAGAACTCAGGCAGAACATTGCCCAGAGAAATGATCAAAACCCCACCCCTTGAAATCTAGCTCTTTTGTACACCAGGTTTACTGTAATTCCATATCCCAGTACATTATTTCTTGTACTTTGAAGTACCTGTCAAGCAGCATTTCATGAAAAGTGCCTTCTTTCCTGGCTTTTCTGAGGGCTTTTGTATCTTCTTTGCTTATTTTAAGCTTTTTGTCTTGAAAACTTTGGAATTTCTTTCTGTAAGTGGGGGGAGAAATGTAAAAAGTGTAGCTTCCTTAAAGTTTCGTGTTTCAATAAAACAACACCTGTGATAAGAATCTTAACGTTTTAACACAGTAGACAATTGGCCTAATAAAATCCAGAAAACCATCACAGTATTGAATATTGCACTAAGACTTCTGTAGGTGAAAACTATTCAGGGTTTTTTTTTTGGTAGTCTAAGTGGGAATGAGCCCCTGCATGATTAGCATAGGTGGTTACAGGTTCTAAGGAGCCCCTTCTTCAACTGCTAGCATGAAAAGTCAGGGAGTAAAAGTGTATTGGGTGGTAGTGGCAAGGTCCTGGTAGCAGGGAAGCTGCAGGGGTGGCCTCTGTGAGAAGAGGCCAGGGGCTGCCCCGTGCTGGACACAGCTGGCTCCACAACAGACCTACCACAGGACACAGCCAAGTCCATCAGCAAAGCTGGTGGCACCTCTGTGAAAACATATTTAAGAAAGGGCAAAATGCCACACAGGCAGAGGAGAAGAGAGGAAAAATAAAAAAGTGCAAAATAGCACTGTGAACACCAAGGGCAGAGAAGAGGGAGGAGGTCCTTCAGGCACTGGAGCAGATACTCCCCTCTAGCCATGCTGGAGCAGGGGAAAAGTGGGAGAAGGAAGAAGTAGCAGAGAGAAACCACTATGTATTGACCCATCCTGTTTGGGGGAGCAGGTAGAGGAGCCTGGAGAAGGAAAGGTGGTGTTTTCAATTTTTGTCTTTGTTTCTCACTACCCAAATCTAATTTAACAGGCAATAAATTGAATTAATTTTCTACAAGTTGAGTCTGGTTCCACAAGTTGTGACAATAACTGGTACATAATCTGCCTGTCTTTATCTCAATCCATCAGCTTTCTCATCCTATTTTCTTGCCTTGTCCTGCTGAGGGGAAACTGAGTGAAAAGGTCAGGTGGGAGTTTGGCCCTTCCACCAAAGGCGGCCCCAAAGAGAAGCAAAAAAAGATACTTGAGCCTGTTAACAGCTCTAAACTACATACACGTAATTGATTTCACACTGTTTAACATTTCCTTTATCTTCTTGTGGAACATCATCTTTCTTCTTAGCTTCTCTTTCAGCACAAGTACGAATCTAGTCATTGAAAGGAAAAACACCAAAACAAAACAGAAAATGTCTATTTTAGAAAAAGCCCCACAAGTTACACATTAAAGACTACAATATATGCTTCATAAAAAGTCACCATGACTCTCACTCTGTTAAGTTCACAGCTTTCAAATTGGCTAATTCACAACTAGAGTTGCAACTGCAATAAAAGCAAGAGCTGCCCGAAGTATGGGAAACATTAAGTGCAATCCTTGATACTACCGTAAGACATAATCGCCTTCATCTCAAAGAAGCACCATTACAGTTCTTAGTTTCAGCAGGGGTAAAATGCCTTTCCAGGGACTGACTTAAAAATATTATTGCTCTGACTAGTAGATACCTATCTCTATCTGGAGGCACATGCATATTTGCCACATCCAGATGAAGTCAAGATAGTCTTTTTACATTCTCTTACTTCAGAGGTCTTCCCTTCTGCATCATTCTGGTAAACCCTTCTCTGTCCCTGCTTCAGTTGTAATTCACCTCTCCTGTACCAAGCTGTTCAGAACTGTTTGGAATATCACATAGACTGTCTGGCCCTGCAACATCTTGCCCTTCTGTAGCAGTAAAATAGCTTCCTTTCTCTACTGGAATAATCTCCATTTACACAGCCCAGGAGCTCTTTTGCCTTTCTTTTGGCCAAATCACTTGACAGCATATAGAAAATTATTACAACTGTACTAAACAGTAAATTGTAGCACACAGACACCCAGTTGTTTGAATATCTGTGCCAATCCTGTATTAATTGTAGAAGTTATAGATTACCTTAATCATTTCTTCCTCCCCTGCAGTTTTGCTTTTGGCTTCTATGTCTCCCTCTTCATTACATCTAATAAAACGGCTGTTTGCTGCTAGTAATGCCATTTTCTTCTGTAGGAATAGTATCACATACTGTTAGCATAAGGATTATATAGAAACTCTTTGATTCATAACATTTATCCTTTACAATACATCAGAAAACTCTGTAAATGCATTTTATTCTTTTATATATTGACACTTCAATAGCTAGCCAGCAGACCTGCTGGCTCCTTCATTCTTTAGATGCTTGTAGCTGCCAAAACACAGCAGTTGGGAAAACAGAAGATTAAAAGTTACAGTATGGAAGAGATTGCAAAAGGCTTTTACTGCACGGACAAAGAACAACAATATAGATTAACTCACAATACAGTCAAATGCTAGGAACAGCAAATGAATTATTGCAAGCAGCTTACATCTTGGAAGACAGGTTCCCATTGCTCTCTTGATCCTATCGCATCTGAACGTCCAACAACAAGTCCATCTGAATTTATACCAAGGTATTTGCCATAACCAGACTTCAGAGCAATCCTCAAAGAGAAAATGCAGGAAAACAGTGAAGAATGTTTTTAATTCAAGCAATTCACAATATCCAACACATCACAAACACATTATTAGTAGGCAGTGTATTTCAAGAGACTATTAAAACATGTATTCACACCAGAAACAAGGATAACAAGAATCAAAGCTTGTAACATTTTGTTACAGTAATTACCTCGTATCAGACAACTTTACTGCTGTAAACTGTTCAGGAGGACTAGGGCCTTCATCATCTGAGGAATTAATTTTCCATTAGTTAGGTATGAAGTATTAAACATACAATATCTTAACCTGTTAAGACTGCAGCTTCAAAAAGAATTAAACAATGGTCATTGCAAAATACTATGGAAAGCTGCAATACTTTATTTCTTTAAAAATTCCTTTTTTGAATACTCACTCTTAAAAAAGCAATGCAGGTGTTATTTATGTTCATATACTTAAGAGTGCTTAAAACAAGACATAAAATAAAGACAATCCTTGTGTAAAGAATTTCACAATTGAGAATGCTTTGTAGTTCTCCAGGTGGCTCTGAAAACCGTAATCTCCTTGTAATGTTATTTTTTCCATAACAAGATGTATCACGGTTCAGCTATGGTAACACAACTCAGTATCCTAAGAGCTACTAGCCTCTCCATTCCTCAAAACCAAAATGAGATAATATTGCCATCATTGCTTTGATCTCACCCTGGAGGTGAAACACACTATCAGAGTTCTGGAACAGTCCTTGTCTGACTGATGGCTCTCAAATTCAGAGTAAGAACTAGCTAATTATCCTGCCATGTTAATAGCCCACTTGTGCAGCAACAAAACAAGTATATTAAGATGAGGATGCAGCAATAAGCCTTGAAACTTATCTGCCTTGAGTTTCACTCTTCACTTGACACCATAAAGTTTTTATAGGATTTAATGAAAGTTATACTGCTTTTTATCCAGTAAGTGGTACAGCCTTTAACAGGTGCTCATCTCCAAGGCAGTTCAATTTATTGTGCACATAAACCAGCAAAAAACTAGTGAAACTGATTGGTAGTCATTAGGTTTAAGTCATCTGCATGCTATGGCTAGGATTATTGCATTATTTGTAATAAACTACTCTTAGCTGTAAAACTGCTTGCCTTTAAGTGATGCTACTTTTACGCTTTTACGCCTTTCATTACTAAAACTGCTTATTTCCAAATTTCCTGAAACAAACCTTTATGTGGTGCTCCAAGCGTAAACAAGCCATTGTCGAGGGCATGGATGTAAGCTCCTTTATCCATTTCTATAGCTATAGTTCCTGTAATTTCACCGAAATTACTGACAGCCCACCAGTTTCCTAAAATACAAAACCATAACAGTTAATAGAGCAATTACAACTTCTGATTACAGTAGTTCAAGAGATGATATTTCTACATCTTCTCTGAGGTTTCAAATTCTAAAGATACAATTGTCATTGCTATCTCAAGATCTTTGTGCATTATTTTATACTACATAGCCAATTTAATGGTGTTGATGCTGAAACAAAGTCCTGCTGTTCTACCCACCCTGCCATCCCTAGCCACAGGCTCCTGCACTTCATCCCTTCTTTGTGTTAGCCCACAGAGGGAACTGATTGACTCAGCTGATCCAGCAAAGATACACCTTGCAAGGAAGGTATGTTTTTTCCGTCTAGACCAGCCTACTGTGATTTTGGGGTTATATCCAATTAATAGATTCTCCAGAACAACAGAAACAGATAAACTACCCCATCTTGCTGTTAAATTACCTCATGGGAGCTGTAATCCTTAGACTTCAGTTATACAAGCCAATCTGCATTCAAACACTGATGCCCCATAGAATTCTACCAAAGTTAAAGGGAGCCCTGTCCACATGCATGAAGTAGAAATATGACATTTATAATTTTTAAACAGTAAAATTTTCTCCTGGTACGCTGTCTTGCAAATATTTCCTACCTGATTAAGTTAATAACTATTTTTAATTAATCTGATGTCTTTTTTTCAACATGGTAAATGTGGCAAGTCAACCTGCCTTGAGCAGAAATAACCTTCCCCTATCTTTATGCAACATATGGTGCTAATTGTCTTGTCCTATACAGTCAGGGCTCGCAGATCAATGTATGAATTTTCCAAATCTCTCCCACTTTTTTTGAAATCTGGCTAAAGTAAAGTATGTAGAACAACTGTAACATTTTTCTAGTGTAAGACACAACGGCCCATTTTCTCATGTATCATAATTTAACACAGGAACAAGGATGACTTTCCCTTATACTGCTTTAGCTTATGCCTATATACACATAATGAAGAGTGACATTTATCCCATCATGTGCGCTGTGCTACAGTATACGTCTGCGTCTCTCATGACTTCGTGTTTCTTTTTTAGCTGTTTTTGTTTGTGAAGTGAACTGTGATCAATCAAGGACATGACAGCACCAAAGGGCAGTCTGTCAAGTTACTGCTCATGACTATACATATGTTGATCCTCCTATTTTATGAAAAAGGAAAAAGTAGTTATATTTTTTTGCTGGTTAATGTATGTGTCTTCAATTTCAATTAACAGTAGCACATTTATAACATGAACACATCACAGAGTGAAGCAAGTATATCAAAATAAAAACAAACCAACAAAGACTCTTTTCCTTTTGAAAGGATTGAATGTTTGAGTGAACTAAAGAATGCAGCCAGAAAGTAACTGTGGCAGAGTAAGAACAGAAAGCACAAGTGATCCAAACACTAGTTTTCAAGTAATAGTACCAGAAGATGTAAGTAATTTCCATTAAATAACATTACAGTACTAAACAGTCTCTCCTGGGAGAAAAAAAAAAAAGAGATATCCAAGCTGCTAAGTAGCTTGAGATTACATAGAACATACTTTAGCTAAAAAGATAAGTGGAAAGACCCTTCCATTGATGTTAGAAGTTCCATTTAGGGCCTAGGAAGATCCCAACACACAAATAACACATTGTAAACTAAGTGTAGTCTCTGCAGAGATTTATAACTATTTCTCACAAAGTCCTGTAACGATCTCTTCAGCTCCTGCTATCCCCTACAGTTTCCACACTGTCCCATAATTCTTGGAAAGCAGCTCACCAACAATATCAAGTTGCTCTGCTGCATCCTCTTCCCTTTTCCTTTTTTTCTCCTTGTGCTTTTTCTTGCTGCAAGGGGAGAAGCAAAGAAATAAGAACGTGCCTCCGACCCAGCCCTTCCACAGCAGGCTCTCTCATACAGCCTCATTCCTGGGCCCTGCTGGAGTTGGCCACTGACACCACAGAATCATATCGAATCACAGAATGTTTTGGGTTGGAAGGGACCCCTAGAGGCCGTCTAGTCCAACCCCCCTGCAGTGAGCAGGGACACCACTAACTAGATCAGGTTGCTCAGAGCCCCGTCCAACCTGGTCCTGAATGTTTCCAGGAATGGGGCCTCCACTACCTCTCTGGGCAACCCGTTCCAGTGTTTCACCACCCTCATTGTAAAGAATTTCTTCCTTATATCCAGTCTAAACCTACCCTGGTTTAGTTTAAA